ATTTAACCAAATAAAGTATAAGGCCTGAGCCTTGCAAAATCTCGTGCGTATACAAGGTCCTTAATCGTAGGCTTTTCAGTGGTAAATGCTTTAAGTCCTAATTGTGTTGCGGTCTGAGCTATAACTAAATCTTATAAGGACACATCAAATGCCACAGAAGCTCAGAGTAATGCCTATGTAGCCCAGCTGTATGTGCCCAAAAGAAGATAGGTAGGGAAAGTTAAGAAATCAAACTATTTTTTGCTCTGTTCCTCTCACAGTCCTTCAGCATTCACAATTGTAGTTGGCATGTTGGAGGGTCTTTGTCCTTTTCTGCACCTCCGTGTGGACCCAATGCCCATGAAATTACCAAATCCCCTTCTGAACCTTTTTGGTGACTTCCCCATCTCTGCAGCTTTCTGTTGAAGCAAGCTTTAGAAATCTGCTACCTGCTGGCTGAAGACTGGTTTCCAGTCTAATTTTCACTTCACTTCCATATGATTTTGTGAAGCCTGAACACACCATCTCTCTGCCTTCTTCTCTTCAGGGGATTCAAGAGTCCTAGCCATTCTCTTTTTGCAATGCAAATGTTTTATTCCTTTAATCACTATAATCTCCCTTCTTTGCACTTTCTCCTCACTCCAGCTCATTAGTAAGTTTATAGATCTATTGTCCATCAATAACAGTATGCCAGCCAACAGGAGTGAACACCAGGTGCCATCTGCCCAGGAAACAAAATAAGAAAGAAGACTTATCTTCCCTATATTCTCTGAATGTGACATTCCCAAAAGAATTACAATTAAGCAGCAAGCAGGAATTGCTTAGTAGTGCTGTGTGTGGGTTTTTTTTTGTTTGTTTTTTTTTTTGTTTTTTTTTCCCCTAATATCTCAGGTACTTGCAATATTTTTCAAGGGCAACCACTTTTAGTTACTGACAATGTAGGTAGGAAAAAATAAAAGGATAAAGAAAACATGAGGATGGAAATGCTTTGGAATTTCACAAAGTGTGCGCCTAGAAAATGGAGGAGGTCTTGTAAGGCCATGGAAGAAGCTATTATGGTAGATAAGGAACAGTGGAAAAGCAGCTTGATTTATCTAGGAAACCAACCATGTGATGGCTGAGCAGAGGGTGACTGCAGCACAGTAAACAGCACAAATGGATTTCTGTCTCCAGAGAGGCTCTCACCTGAAAATGGTTTCACAGAAAAGAGCGGTCACAGCTCTCTCTCTATAATTATTATAAGCTCCTAAAAGCATAAAATGCTGTTATCATACCAAGAATATTCCAGTCCAAACTGCACTTTGTTGTAACTATAGATAATTTTACCTGCATCTGAGCCTGCTTTCAGAAAATTTGTTAAAAAAATACTGTTGCTATTCCAAAGCAGAAACTGTATCTAGCAGACAGCTAAATGTGTAATAAGTACAATGATGGCTGGAAAAATACTCAAAGGCTACATGTATCTTCAGAAAGAGACGTCCCTGATGATGTGAACTGTTAATTAATGGCAAGAAAATGCGAGAAAAGGGGCAGAGGATCACTGCTACTCCATTAAGATATAAGAGCTTGGTCATGCAAAAGACAATGCAGAATTAAGTACCCGTATGTCTGACTTAAACATCATGCAGTCCTAACTAAACTGATCTAAAAACCTCATCACATGCTCTGCACATGCACTGTGTCCATCTCACACAGGTGTTCTTCTGCAGTGTTCAGACCATACAACTTGATCACTTTTCTTCAGCAGCAACCCAGAATTATGATTCTAGCTATTAAGCAAAAGTTAATCACTGTCCCCTATGAAGGTAAATTGTATACATCCCAAGAAATACGATACATACAAAATAAACAAACAGGACAAGAACTACACCAGGCAACCTAACAGCTTGCAACCTGTTAACAGTGTTAATAGATCTGATTCTTACAGTTCTGTCACATCAATGTGATATAGCACTTTTCCATAAATAAATGATACTGAAACACAAACAGAAATGACACAGTCCACAAAATGGGAGAACTGATGATTAGCACTTGAGTAGTCCAACATGTTCAAATATAAATATAGAGAGA